CCGGGTACCCCGTGCCCCTCCCCTAGATCCGCCTCTGTATTAAATCCGTAGAAAACATAGGCACAGTTCATTACATGACCAATAAAACAGTTCTAAAAAACAACACAAGCAAAAACATATGAACTGAAGCGGCCTCTTACAGAGCATCTGGCTAGTCTAGCCCCCTGTCCCCCTCCACTAGTCTAAGCCGCAGCTTGTTTTAACTTAACTTCCCCTTTTTTTTCCCTTCGTTTTTTTAGCAGCTGTTGGTAGTTTTGTTCCGAGGAGTGAACCAAGCAGAGGTATCTATAGTTATTGTTCGTAGTGGTCATATCAATCAATTAATCAAGCAATCAATTTTCTGAGATTTACGAAGAATTCGTAATGGTTATAAGGCTCGTTTGATTTTCCAGTAGGCCTTAGAATGCGATGAATTATCTTGCTGCATCTCGGGTTCCAACATCAAGGTTTCTAACCTTTCTTGTACCGTATAAACGTCAGTAGATGGACGAATTTTTACGTTTTGACACCAAATTCTGAAAGCGTGTCAAAGTATCTTAACGATCGAGTGAGATTGAGACAGACTCGGTCGAGCGCCCGGCGGGCCGACTGAGCATAACTGAGCATGCGTTGTTTGACACGCGAGGTTGATTTGCATAGTGTGAAGTCTTGATCTCTATGAGAAAGATCAATGATTTTCGGAACTAAGATGCGGTAAGATTTGCCATTTCACACTTTTCTGATTGGTTATTCAGATATGGCATTGACTGATAAATTTATTTAAGATGTAAAGCAAGATAAACAACAATAACTTCCAGACATTAGAGCGACGTGTGTTCAAGTAACTTAGGGTCGTGAAGTTGTTAGTTAACTTTTAATCAATTTATCAGGATGCTTTGAGATCTTTGGTAGTTTTGAAAGCTCTCTGTTTATGATAGACTGTAAGCAATTATTTATATATTAGAAATAACTCGGAAGAAAAACGCTCGCTTAATTTGGAGGAGCGATGACTGTTCTTTTTACGATGCCTTGACGAACCTACTGGCGTCAACTTTTCTGACACATGCACACATAGTCGACACATTAGCTTATTTTGGAAATAGTTTAAAACCCGTTTCTAATTAGAACCGAGTATGAAGTAGAATGCTACGGCTTGTCAATCTTCACGAGATTAGCACAGTTAAATTTTTGGAATCCCTAAATTTCTGATGTCCAGTCAGGACCTGTTCTGGTTTAACATTCTCAATTTTTTTCAGGCTTTCAATAGTTTGATGTAGGTTACGTGGAGCCAAAGAGAGGAAAATGGATAATGATCTACTTTGCAACTTTAGAAAGTGCAGAAAAAGACTGAATACACATGCTTGGGTAAACAATTTTTTTCAAGGTTATGGTACATTTTTTAATCCAATTTCATTTTGAAATATTTTAATGTAAATATACTTTTTTTGATCCACAAAATCTCCAGGTTACCTCATGCTCTCGTATCCTTTTCCTCCATGAGCTTTCAGTAAAAATATATTTCTTATTTCTTGTTGAAATATCTGATGTCTTAAGTATTGAACATTAACTGAATACAAGTGATCAATGGAAGCAGTTAGAAGGGCATTTTTGTTTTTGTTTGAAAAATACCAGACTTTTTAAACAAAATCATTGATAAAGACATAAGTCCAAAATCATATCTTTTTTAAGAGAATCTTTACATGAGCATGCAATTGTGTGGATTTTTATAAATTTTGTATGATTGTCCAGTTGTAATCGTCAGTGTGGTCCTGCACCAAAGCACACTGACAGAAGCACTGCTGTCAAAGTTCTATGTTCATCTTTTCTGACTGAAATAGGCTTTAAGATGACTACATTTCTATCCAAAATTTATGGCTAAATTATGTACAACCATGAGCTTGTGTCAGTTTGACTGACTGATTCCTTTAATTACTTCCTGATTGATTGACTTTGTCATTGATTGAGTGGTTGACTGTCTCACTGAGTGGGTGACTAACTGATAGACAGACTGACCCACAGACTAATAAACCAACAGACTAACTCACTGACTGACTTATGAACGGACAGACTATGGACGGATGGATAGAAGCAGAAAAGTAGATTGACTGATTGACAGATAATATCCATCAACTAGAAACTTCATGGACACATGCAGGTGGGGGCTGTTTACAGGAAGATTGTTATTAACTTATCAATAATTTTTTCACTTATGTAACTTACACTTGCCAATGAAAGTTAATGAAAATTGCTGCGGTGGTAGTGACACAACAGGTATTGCAAATTTCAACGTATTCTCTGAGTATAAATTTTTTGCATTTGAGTAGAATTAGTGGTTTTAAGTAATGAACAGTACCTGTCTTGATACCTACATCCTTGACTTTGAGTAAAGATATATTTTGTGATGAGGATGGAACCAGAGAATTCAACAAGAGCCTTATCTGTCCAGCTTGTAAGTATATGGTTCTTTGAGTCAAATGCCCCTCGTACATATAAAAACTGTTGAAACTAATTGATGGATTTCTGATAATATGTTATGCTTCATTGCCAGGTGAAACTAATCTGTCTGCAAAATTTGACGTCATTCGTGTTGATCTACAGGCTTCTGAACAATTCAAATCAGTAAGTGTTTATTAGGAATCGTTTTAATCAGTTCACATAACTCATAAATCAGATATATTCTGCTAGTGCATATGTACATATATTTTGAGTGGGTCTTCTAGTGGTTGTACTTTTCCAACCATGCATTGTTACCATGACAACAGCATAAAGCTCAGCCAAAAATGTGTGGTAGTACCTATTCCTCACCAGTTTGGGCCCAAGGAATCAAAATGCCTAGAAAGGAGCCAACAAAAAGTGAATGTCTGTAGATAGTTGAAAACAGGGTATAGCAATCCTTAAATAAAACACCTTTACGTTTATTCAGAAAGTGAGCACTCACTTAAACTACTGGTTGTGCTTAAAATGGGGAGTTGATCAGTACTAGAGTTGGTGTCAATGATATTTTCCCTAAATGTTTGTTTGTTTCCATTTTACAGATGGTGTTGGCTGGTCAAAAACCTGAGGTTATTATGGAAATTTGTTCAAGAGCATTGGCATTCTGGACATACCAAGTAATATATCCTCACTTATAAACAAGTAGTATATCCTTCACTTTCTTACCTGTGAGCTGCTTTAGAAAGAAGTTGTAGTTCCTGTGGGAATGGGGTTTATCATTACACTTTTAGAGCAAGAAGTGAGTCTGTGAGGTATTTTATAAAACATGAAAAAATTGTATTTGAATTAATGTCAAACAATTCACTGAATGTATATTTGGAAAGAGTCCTGCTCAAAATGTGGGCAACAAATAGCCACCAAAAGCTGTATAAGCCTAAGCATTAAAGTGAGTTCTTATTTTTCTCTAAGCTTCCTAATTTGCCATTTTATATATATTAAAATTCAAACTTGGCTCTGAGGCTTGGGGGAAAAAACAAAAGAAATCACATTGAGGTTGAGAGATGAATAATTAATTTATTTTGTCTTATTCCCCCTATCACTGGAACCATGTTAGATCTTTTCAATATCAAAAATGGCAAATTATTTTGTCTTAAAAAAGTTAAATGTTTTCTCGATTTTCCTCAAGGGAAGTATATTTCTTGCCTTTCAAACTCTTGTTCAAAATGGGTGGAGTGCCTCTTTATGTTTTTATGTGCATATAAGAAATCTTTAACAAGACTCCATTCAGAGAGAATTAAACCTTTTTTTATAGGCTTACATAAAACTGGTACCTGTTAGCTTTAAAGAATGGGGTCTAAGCTTCTGAGGATAAAACTTCTGTTAGAGTAGAGTCTTAAACTTGTTCTATTGTCATACGAGTTTTTTTACAAACAGAACTGATGCCAATTAGTCAAAACTTAATGACAGAATAACCTCTGATTGGCTAAATGCCTTAGTTTTGAATTAAAGCATAGTGATACACCAGAAAATAATGAACAAATGAAAAGTTTTTTCAAATTATATAAACATGAAGTGCAAACTGTCCTTTTACATTGTCCACTTCCACAACTGCTATTGTGCTCAGTGCTCTTTCACATATGAAATACAGGAGGTTACTGATCCAGTCATTAAGTGTCATTTTTTAAATTTTTTTTTTAGGTTTTTGGATAATGCAGTCTGAGCTAATGTTTTTGTGAACCTTTGTAGAGATATGAAAATACTTGTTTCACAGATACCATGCTTCAGATGTTTCCTCTTTTGCATAGACCCACCAGGAAAAAATGTACCAGGATTATGTTGCCAACAAAGCAAAGGAGAAGACAAATCAGTTGGAGCAGTACTATAGTCAAGTTCTTTCCAAAGTGCAAGCAGAACTAAGCTGTATCCTATTGTCTGTGTTTTTCTTTGTAGACTTCATCTTGCAAACGAAGATTTGTAGGATAAATGTGCATATAACAAATTGTAAAACACTGTGAGAGCTTTAATGGGTCCTATTGGATTGTGGGGATACAATAAACTTCGAACCTTCCATGACTGGATCAAGGATACATACCTTAAAACGAATAACCATGAACATTTCTTACAATTTAGGAACTTTTTTATGAGACTTTGGAGTAATCTTCCACAAATTTCCTTGACTGCAGTTCAATTTATAAACAGCCTTAAGAACCCAAACATCAAGTAAGTGTTTTGAAACTAATCATAAATTACTCTGACGCTCGGTTAAAGGGAGATTTATTTTGATGAGGAAAACATACATTATGAAATATGTTACTTCATGATAGTAATGTTAGGAAAGATTCTTGATATTTTGAAAAAAAGCTGTTTTGCTCATTGCAGATGACAAGAAGGAGCTGGAGGACATCAAGAAACGCAATAGTGAACTGTCTGAGAAAATGATGGAAAAGAATAGACAGTATCTTAAGCTCCAGGTGAATACCTAGTACGTTACTCACCCATTTAGAGCTGCTGCATGGTTATATAAGAAACGATCTCTATCGGATTGATGGATTTTATGTCACAGTGTGAGGCTATTCGACGATGGGAAGGAAGAGCATATTCTGGTTTTACGTAAATGACTCTTTTTTCCCTCTCGTTTTTTGGCCATTTAATCACACCCGCACGTAGTTCTGCTTTCTCTTTCTTTTGGTTTTTAATGAGTCACTGCTACTGACCCCTGATTTCCGGTCAAACATCAAGGAGGATTTTACTAAAAAATCTGTTTTAGGAAAGTAAATCTGTGTTTGTGTTCAGTGAATGGCCGTCAGAGTAAATGATGCATGCACAACCTACTATAAGGTATCCTTTCTGTTAAGTCACGAACGTACAGCACTTTGCTATCGTGCAATGTTGATGTTGTCTCACAGAAAGTACTGTTTTACGTCAACAGGGAATGTATGACTCACTGAGAAGGTAAGAACAGAAATGTGTTTTTAAAAGAATTGTGCAACTTCTTTCTTGTCAGTGACCCCTTGAACATTTTCACTGTAATTTGTTATGGCCTACAGCTACTAATTAAGACTGAAGGAAAATGGAATGAGGAGTTCAGTTACAAAAGTACACCGCGTTGTAGTTTTTGGCAAACTGATATATTCATGACGTAGATAATTCGACATGGGCAGTTTTTGTCTCTAAACAGAAAATTTACCTACTGAAGCTCGCTCGCCATTTTTTTAACGCAGACATTACTACGCGCTGCAAACGATTGGCTTGTCGCACATGATTACCTTTTTTCATCTGCAGAAAAACGATAACGCCATCCGTTCTTGAAGGACGTGAAGAAAGGATTCTAGAATCTCGCGGTTTGGGAGGGGAAGTGAGTCGCGTATTTGAGATTCCACTCGGGACAGGCGGAGGTAAAATTAATCTAGCAAAAAACTGTTTTATGCACTACTTCTCAAGAAATTGAGAGCAAGGAAATTTTTTCTTTCTCGATTGGGTTGTAACCGATAGCCAGTGGTGCTATTGACAGCCGTTGTTTTGAGCAAACTGACCCAAGGGTGACTGGCTTTTACGAATATTTTGACGTTATAATGTTTATTTGCACAATAGAAAACTGGCCTAATGTAATTTGGATGGATTCACAGACAGATGAAAGTGCTGTCTTTCAAGATAAGGCCTCTTTAATTTGGAGTCTTCTTGTGTAAACAAAGACTTTGGATTAGTCAGTGCAAGGTCCTATATCATTTTTAAAACCGTTCACGTGCATGACAATACCTATAACCACACGATCGTTTGATAAAACGTAAAAAGGGATAATTTTAATACCTGAATGATAGGTGTAACTTTGTTTCAAATTTTCATAGAGTTGCTGAGACGAACAGCTAGTTCTGCTGATGTGAGATATCCTGCAGAGAGTAAGTAAACTCTAGCAGGAACGCTAAGTAATAAAACAATCTCTGTAAAATTTTATTTTGGTCATCGATTTTCTGAATCGACTTAAAAGCCCCCTGCATGACCACCCTAACCACTCTCCTCAGAGCAATGTTGAACTCCAGCTAAGAGGTTGAACAAGAATAGGCCATCGTGTATATATAGGGGGTGGTGAACACGTCTGAAAACTGTTGCCACTGATTGCTAACCTTATACATCTACTTCAGTAGGTGACATTTATCCTTGGTCTGAATTACAACCTTTTTTCTGCGTCAGAGGTGAAATTGTATGCCGTTGTACAAAAAAAAAAAAAAAAGCAAAAACAACAACTTGTGAATGAACATGATGTTTTTATTGTTATGTTATAAGTCTTGGTATTCACGGTTATAAATACACTATTGTAATTATTCTTCATTTGCACGATAGGAGAATTTCATGTCTTTGATCCACCAGTTCCGGTGTCGGCTCGTGTGTCAACTCCAAGCCATGGGCCGCTGAATGATGCCGATTCAGCTTCTCGCAAATTCACCCTTGATTTTACAGGGACCCCTGGAATTAGCAAACGACTGGGACAGAAAGGAGCACATAAGGAATAGCTGGATTTTTACGTGACATTTTTGATACCCGATTATTGGTGTTGAAGCTAAGAGTGATATTTTACATTTATGTGGCTAATATTTTCTCGTGCCTGTCGTAACGTAGAAGAAAAATACCCAGACTTTTTGTAAGCAAGTCTCTCTTTTTACGGTCATGGTAAGCAGGCAAATAAAAATTTTCTTGGTTAATAGTGGAAAATTCTTGTTTGCTGATCATTGCCAAAGAAAAAGGGTCCTTAAAAATGTGCGAAAACCGATAAACAGCAATAGTTTGTGTTCGGCGTCATTTTGTAACAACGACGCATTTTGTGATAAAGGTTGCGCATTTTGTAATAGGTATTGCAGCATTTTGAAGACGGGCTACACATTTTGAAATAATATCTGCAGTATTCTGTATCAATCGTCGGTTGAAGTAATTTATAACAACATCTTGATGCAATGCAAATTCTAATAATCTTAACTTTGCTACAAAGCACCTAGGAAAAGTAATGTTAAAGGTTACCGTCAAATATCGCACTTTGTTCGTGCGTGATATCGCCGATATATCGGCGATATCTCGGAACAGCCGTTGAAGTGTTTTCTGGGACTAATCACCGACATGTAGGTTTCATTGGAGGACATTTGAAACTTTTGTTCAAAGGTAAGGCGACCCTTGCAAAATCTACGTTTTCCAGACGTCACTCCGATTTTCCTGTTAGTTAGACCGGCAGAGTCTTGTTTGCTGCGTTCTTATATACTTCAGCTTTCTGCGAGAGGTGTCTAGTGATCAGCTCTACAAAAAGTACAAAAGGTAAGACATTTTATTGTTTTTTTTTTTGTAACTTTGCAACAAGGTTATGAGGTGTGCAGGTGAAATTTAGCCGGGGTGGATGGATGTAGGAAAACTGTTTTTGATATTTTTTTCCTAATTTGATCCATCAAAATAACGATTAAGGTTGCAAGCTTCTTCAAAAAGTAATTTCATGAGCACGCCGGTGGCTGAAACACTTTACTTTTGAATTTCTGTACATATAGAATGAGATACTACTTTGTGAGATTATGCACAGGCATGCGTTTTTTAGTTGACCTCTTATACTTGCAAGTAGGTCGTCAGTCAGTATACATTTCCATCGGCGCTGTAGTTATTCTAAAATCTATTCCCAAGAAAGGCTTTCTTTTCTTAACTGAATTTGGATCTATGGGCAAAGTTTCCTCTACCTACCGACTCTGCCAGGCCAGCATTGCGTTATGGCAGACATTCCTAAGATTTCATCCCATTGTAAACACCAGCTGTAACTGTCATGCCTTAAGGAATGTGCCGAGACAAAACTCGGTCGTATTTATTACTCTAGTGTCTCTATGACCTTGGAATGAACTTACTGCTGACTGAGCCGGCCTTTGGATAGTCCACTAATAACTTGTTCGTTAGCAAATTAGTATAGATTTATTATTTTTTTATTCATAATAAAATGAATTTTATATGCTATTTACTGTCGCAAATAATGAATTGCAGTACAGATGGGCTCTGAAATTACGCCCTTTGTTTTGGATCTCGAAATTCTCAGAATTCAAGATGTTTCTAAGTATTTTTGTTAAATAAACAAAATCTCGTACAGTTTTGTTTTCTTTATTCACCTCTCACCTTAAGTAAATTTCCTCTCGAAAAATGAACAATGACAATTGAAACAAGTATGATTTCATTTTTTGTACTTGACCTTCATCAGGAATTTCCAGGTGTCGATATGTCGCAATATAGGTATGTCATTGAATTAAGCGAACAGTGATAGTTTTCGTGCACTCAAGGACAGGCTAGGTGATTATGTAAATCTGCGTTTCCGATTTCCGTTGGATAATCTTTTGCTGCGGATATGTATCACAACAAAATAAACATGCGTCATTGACCGAGCGAAAGGTCAGGATGCCTTGCAGTGAACTGCGAATTATTTGTTTTGGCTACTTTGAAGACTTGCGATGCGATCCCATTGTTAAACAAGTAGCAGAAGTTTGGCGAAAGCCATGAACTATTTGCACCGGTTACGACATTTTTGCAAGTTTGTTTGTTTTTTTTTCCAGGATCATCGCGGGTAATCAATGAGAAGCATCTCATTACCTTTCCGAGTTAAAGTAAAAGACAGGCTTAAGACTGAGTGTAGGAAACAGACCAGTAGAACAAAAACTTTTTTTTACCGGCTGATGTTGAAACTTACTGATCCCAAACAAAATACTCACACTGTTGTCTTCCGGTTAGAGTTTGGCGTTCATTGTTCTACTGAGCACCATACCTTGTTTGAAAGCCTTGAAACTGTGTACGGAGAGGACCCTTGTCATTACAATGAAGAAAAGTCGATTTTGTTATGATAGTGCCGTTTTTGCAGTTTTTAAAATGTGAGCAAAGGAATTATTGAAAGAAAAGATGTAACTCTAAAAAAATAATAAAATATTTTTAATGCAGAAAATATGTCCGATGTGCATGTCTTTACAAACACGCCATTATGGCAATCTTGACATCGCTGATTAGTGATAACACATTATTTAAGTGTGGTCTCGTTTTTTAGGTATTGCAAAATCATCTCCTAAAATTTGTCATTCATATATTTTAGAACCAATTAGCTGCGACTTCAGATAGTTGGGCCTGAAGGAATGTATTCTGGCATGATGGCTGAACGTGGTTTACTAACACTCATAACTTTTGCCCTGCTGTCTATCAGTCAAGGTAAGTATGAATAGGGAAGGGGTGGGTGGTGCGCAGTTGCTCAGGTACTGACACTGAAGCTACATATTCTCTGTTGCCTTTTAGAAAGGCTTATTTAAGGTGGCTCACATGGCCATTTTTATTTTTCAACACATTAATTCATTATGAATTGTATCATCTACACTTTTTCAATTCTTTCTTAAGGAATGGTGTCCAAAAATGCCCAATCAGGCTTACATACTTGTTGTGCTTTAGAGAAAAACCCTTATTTCAGTCTTAATGCGCCTGTAATATGAAAACGAGATCAGTTGCCCCCTTTCTTATTACGATTCAGTCAAAATATCAAGTTTTTTTCACTTACTCTGTTGTAACAGTTTATCAAGATTTCAAGAGTCCAGTATTGAACGAAAGGGTGGAAGTTGCTCACAAGACTGAATTTTATTCTTACGAAAGCTTATACGAACCAATCCTCACGAAAGCGGAAACGAACTGATCTTAATGAAAGTGAAAACAAAGTGATCCTAATGGAAGCGAAAACGAAGTGACCTTAACGAGAGCGAAATCGAATTTTAACCTTTAAGCATTTAAGAGGCTATGTCTGTCATGTTCACTTGGAGTTTTGTCGTAAATGTACGAGAAACATTTTCGCAGTGACAGACGCTTGTTCTTTAGTTCTTTTGTCCACAAGCAATATTTATGTTTTGCTTTTTTGACCTACAGGTTTGGAAAATTGTACAGAGCCGTGTCTCATATACACTGTTTCAAATAGAATTGACGCAATTGAGTTAGCTTCGTCCAGAGTGGTGAACCTGGTGTCCAATCTTACGTTACCGCTCGATCTTGATGTCCATGTAAGCGAAAGAACATTATACTGGAGCGATTCCAATCAACGTGTCATCAAACGTATGAACATGTCCAGTGGTGTCATGAAAGACATTATTACAGAAGACCATGGATATGTCGGTGACCTTGCCGTGGAATGGGAAAGTCGCCTTTTATATTGGACAGATTCGTTCTACCACAGGATTGAAGTTGCCTCCTTAGACGGCACCAAAAGAAAGGTGCTCTTCAGCGAGTCCTTGAGCTATCCGGCTGGAATAGCGGTGCACCCAAAGAAAGGGTGAGTAGAAAGTGTAAAATGTTCGCATCTATTTGAGGTGAGGTAGTTTGCGTCTCAAGGAATGAAAATTTGGCAAAGTATCTTTTTGCAGTGACATGGTTTTTCATAGAAGGGCTTGAAAATGGAATGAATTAACGGTCACTGACCTACAGAAAACAATGAGACATTATTTTCCCCTGCCGTCATGAGAATTATGCTTGCTCCATTATCTCTGAAAACGTACTCAGTGAGTTATTTAAACTTATAACAGTACTAGCATTAAAAATTAGGAACAGTCATCGACGATGGTCATTTTTATTTACAATGTCACCCTTGAAGCCCTTATTTGTAACCTGCGATGAGGCGTTCCTTAATTTGAATTTTGCTGGGAGGGCGAAGCACCAGCAAAAAGAACGTACGATCTGAGAGAGACCCTGTTTCCTTCTTTCAGATGGATGTTTTGGACAGATGTGTCGAGAACTACCAAGATTGAACGAGCAAACCTTGCTGGCTTTGAGCGAACTGTCCTGGTCGATCTCACCAATTCATCTCAGTTCTGGCCAAATGCTATTTCCGTAGACTATACTAACGATCGCATCATTTGGGTTGATGCCTGGACTGGTGCAGTTGATTCGGCTGACTTTCAAGGGCAAAACAGACGAATGGTGGCATCTCAAGTTCCCATGTATCCGTATGACTTCATTCTCCATGGCGACACGCTTTACTGGAGCGACTGGGTAGAAGATGCTATCGAGATGCTTAATTGGACTACTGGCGATTACTTAGGAAACTTCAGCGCCGTGGTTTCCGGCAGTGTTTATGGTCTCGGTCTACTTGATAAATCAAGACAACCAGCGTCAGCAGGTAATAAAGGTTAAGTTAAGTCTTTCAGTTTCCCATGAACATCGTCCTGTTTTTTGCTGATAAAACTCTAGCTTGATGTACCTTGAGGGGCTTGTACAGGCAAGTTTGGAATAGAATTCTACCTCCCTTGGTCAAGCTTAAAGATATGGTAACAAAAAAGAAGAATATATGTACATGTTATACGTGAAAAATCAAGAATACAATGAATATTGATGCAAAGGAAAGGACGAAAATATGTTTCTTTTTTTGATTTCTCTACTAGATAAAAAGAGCCATATTCTCTTTCTGCAATTAGTATTGAACAAAACTGGACATAGATATTTTAAAATGAGAAATCCTGTTATTTCACAACTGTAGTTCAGTTTCAATTACAATGGCAATTAAATCTGTTTGAAATTTGAAATTCACTTAAAAGGTTCTCTTCCTTTTAGAAAGTCAGCTCTGTAAGATAGACAACGGAGGCTGTAGTTACTTGTGCCTTTTGACACCTAACGGATCTCTTTGCGCCTGTCCTGATGGCATTCCTTTCTCAAAAGATGGTAAACGCTGCCTTGCAGGTAAGAATTTTCTTTTTCTGCCAGGGGATATTTTAATGATGGTTATTGCCATACGTTTACTAGTTGCTGATCCTGATTTAAATGTTCAAATAAAAAACTTTACGAAGCCTAAACTGAAACCAAAAATGACGACATCGAGAAGATCGTTTTAATTAGGGAAGGTCAGATCGGTCAATGCCGTTCATTGGAAAGTGAATGCCGCCCACTTACGGTTAAAATTTTATTTTTAGTGACCATTTCTTGATTTTCTGATTGTTACTTGCGAAATAAATCGATTTTGTAATAAATTGACCATATCAGCGCTTTGTAAAAAGAACAATGAAAACAAATTAAGGCTGATCGATGTTACTAGCCATCTTGGGAAAAGGCTGCTGCTTATAGTAATGTGACAAAGGTGAGTGCTGCATAAAAACGACTGTAAAGAAAGCAAAGAACTCGGCTAAAAGAGGTTATGAGTAAGTCAAAACGTCCCCAAGACTCTATATATCTCAGTGATCTATTAACAATGTCTGGAATACTTTAAATGTCACCTAGAATCCGAGACCCTGTTCTCCACTACCTGGAAATTGTAAAAGGACTTTTCCATTAAAATCCTTCTCATCTCAGTTTCAGAGATAACAACATTTCTTCTCTTTACTGAGGGATCAAACCTGAGACAAATGGCTTTCAACGCTACAACGTCACGGAGAATCCCCCTCAAAGTACCTGTGTCGCAACCCATCGCGCTGGATTTTGACTTTTTGGAAGAAAAAGTCTACTGGACAGACATAACACTAGGAACAATCTCTCGAGCGTATCTCAATGGATCATCTCAGGAGACCGTGGTGAGAGGTGGGCTCAACAACCCATATGGACTTGCTGTAGATCCGTTTGGTCGGAATATTTACTGGACGGACAGCGCAGAGCACGTTATTGAAATAGCATCCACAGATGGACTCTACAGACGAGTACTCATTAAGGATAAGTTGCAAAATCCAAGGGATATTATCTTAGACGTCACTCGAGGGTATACAAATGTATCTCATTCTTTATGTGATTGTTTTAAAGATTATTCTAGTCAGCTTGTGTGAGGCTTTTAGTTTCAGCGTGCGCCAAAAATCAGTAAATTCGTGAATTCGTTAGACAAAATTCGATAGAAAAGTTGTTTGTCATTGAAGTGTTATATTTAGTTATGTGCAAAATGATTGGCCAGTTGCTGCGAATGATGTCAGATGTGATTGTTTCTTTGCGAGCCATATCACCAGTAGTATCTTAATTTCGTCAAGAAACAATATCGATGCAAAATGAATAGGAATATTATTTTTTTCTTTTCTTTTTTTTTCTTTTGTTTCGAAAAGTTTTTTCCAATTTTTGTTTTTATTTTACTTCTGCTTTTTTTTCTTGCTTTTCACCACCAATAGCTACATGTATTGGACGGACTGGGGGTGGGACGAGAGGATTGAGCGAGCAGATATGGATGGCACAAACAGAAGAGTGATTACTCGTTATGGGCTGCTTTATCCTAACGGTCTAACTCTAGATGTTTCTAGGAATTGGCTCTACTGGATCGATACTTCTTATGGAAAATTGGAAGTGTACGAGTTTCCATCTAACACAAGGAGAACCATAATACCCGCATATAGGGAACCATTTCTTACTTCTCCATTGGGGCTGACACTCTATGGGAGTAATTTCTTTTGGACTGACACGCATCTTAATGGAATATATCGAGCGGACCGTAACACTGGAGGAAACGCTTCAAAAGTCCTATCTACTTCTTCTCGGCCAGCTTTGATTCATGCGTATGACAGGAACATGAATATTACTCCAGGTATAATTCAACCTCGATTATCACATTTATAGAATAGAAGTAGTGCGTAAAACGTACAACCGAAGGCTCGTATTTCATTAATTGCGGAACACAACCAAGCCGAGAAGATCTGGTTATCTCGTGATACGCAAAATGGTATTTTGCGTGCACGACAAACTGTACTATGGGTACAACACGAGATACTATTTGAGCACGAGTCTAGGTGAACTTATTCTATCGCATGTTAGTTGCTTATGAAGTTGGACGGTTTTTCTTGGCCCACACTGTACTTATCGTGACATGTATTTAAAGTAAAGTGGTTTTGCCCTTTGGTCACATGTTCTGTTTGTAATATGGGCCTTTCCGCGAATATTTGATGTACATTAAAGTATTTGGTTTGTGCATTAAGAAGAACGGTTGCTTTCGTGCTAGTTGCTTTACTCTCTCTTAATGCAACACCAGAGATCCAACCAGTAAAAAGCAGCCGTTAACGGTTACATATTTGCTTTCAGTTCTCATTTATTATCATTATCGTTATCGTTATCGTTATCGTTATCGTTATCGTTATCGTTATCGTTATCGTTATCGTTATTATTACTATTATTATTATTAGTTGTTGTATTGGCCCTTGCAATTCATTCTTGTTCCGTTTCCATTTTAATTCTTGGCAACTTGTGTAAAATTTAGACAAGATGAAGGTGTATTCACCTAAGTATGTTATTTTGTAGTAACGGATCAGTGCATGAATCAAAATGGTGGATGCAGTCACTTCTGCATACTCTCAACCAGTGGTAAAAAATGTATGTGTTCTGCGGGGTTTTATCTTCAAGACGACGGAAAAGGTTGTAAAGGTAATAAATCAAAACATCCATTACACACCTGAGTTTGACTAAAACAGAGTGGCGTGTCTTGGAAATATTTTAATTTCTCTTTCTCAACAAGCACTATTTATCTCTTAAAGTGTTTATGACACAACTTTTCCCGTAGATTGGTAACGATTTAATTAAAAATATTAATGTTTTTCATTTTTTTTAGATTTACTGTTTATAATACGAAACATAATGTTCTGCGGTAATTATAGATATCCACGTTCTTTTTCAAAAGCGTTCAGAGGCAAAATTCAAGAAACGGAATAAATTGATGAGAAGGAAAGGAGTTACTCCGACTTGTTTCGTTATTTCACTATTTGAAGCTGAGCAAGTAACGAAACTAATTACTTTGATTTTTTCAATCAAGTTTTCACAAGGGAATAATAATGTTTTTGATCGTGCGGAATTGTTAAAACTCAGGGATATCCAGAGGATATTACTCTAGTGATATTCCTCAAAGGCGGTGTCTCCTTCCAGAAAAAAAGAGGCCTTTGCATCAGTGATCTTAAGAGTAAACTTCCTTATCGCAGTGTGCAAACATTGTAATACATTTAAATGTCTTCCTACAGCTCAAAGAGAGATCCTGCTTTGTGCAGATTATTCATATGACAAGATAATGAGGGTTTCTCCGCACGACTCTGGATCATTTAAT